AGAAAGAGCAAGAGAGACACATTGATTGGTTGCCTCCTGCACATGCCTGACTGGGGCCGGGATTGAACTGCAACCAAAATATGTGCCCTCGATCAGGAATTGAACCCACAACCCTCTGATGTGCAGGCCAACGCTCTACCCACTAAACCACACTGGCCAGGGCCCTAGATTTCTTTTTAGTCAGAACTTTATAGTTGAATTGATTCCTAATTAACTAAAAAGTAACATTAATTCCTCCAGTAAGTCAAACTCTTTCCCCCACCCCTCAAGTACTCCACTTTGCACTCTATAAATCTGTTTTGTCAGTTAAATGATGCGCAATCAGGGATATTCTGAAGAACTGAGATGCCAGAAAAAGTCTATAGAAAGCTATTTCTCTACGTACATGTTTGCCAGCCTCCTTCAGGCGACTCTGATCTTTTTGAAATTCCTGAAAGGCTTCTTTCACCAGGTTGTCCAGGTCGACTTTGTCCTGAAACTCGAGCTCCGGGTTTCTCTCCAGGATGATGGATACAACCATCAGCAGCTAGGAGAGACAGACATGGAGAGCCAGTTAAGTGAGCCATGAGGGGGAGGGTCTGGATGTGTTTCATGCCCTCCTCAGACTGAGAGTGGTACTGTGGTCCACAGTGTGCTCTGCACGGCTATGGGCTGGGGTCGTCTGGGCTGGTCGTCGGAACCTTGCCAGCTAGGAGCCTATGCTCCCCTGTGAAATGGCACGTGTCCCTCACTGTGTGGCTGCAGCTGTACAGAATGCTGCCTAGTAATTAAACGAAACCAGTGACTTAGAACGTGCCTGTCCCAGTCCTGTCTATAGTGTCATGCCTTATTCACCCCAAGCATCTGAACTGTCCTTGCCTTTGGGCATCACTCCTTGTTGGCCAGACACCAACGCCAGTGTCCGGTGGAGTGGAGGCTGCCCAGGAAGAGGTGGAGGCAGCGCCAGAGAAGGTGGGCGAGTCAGTGGAGACTGTGGACCGAGGCTCACGGTCCCGTCGCTCGGAGCTCAGCACCCAAAATGAGTTGAAATGTGACCCACAGTGGTTTCTGAGGTGTCGTGTTCAAAATGCACTTAACTCCAACCTGCTCTGACATAAGTCGATCTGGCCAGTCTTTATTTTAAGGTGTCATGTTGTGGTTCAGGCCATCCCAACATTCACCCCAAGAAACAATGTTTGGGATGACAAGCTGTTATACACAACGCCTGTGTCTGAGTGTTCGGTGCTTGGTAAAGACTCTGATGGTGGTGGTGGCTCCTGCTCTGTGCACAGAACAGGAAAAGACGGGAATTCCTGTTTGGGAATCTCCCTGACCCCTTCATTAAAATGCCTCCAAAACAGAACCTAAAAAGAGCCACAGGGAACACTTCTGGAAAAGCCCAGGGTCAGGCATGGACACCCTGGGGTGAGCTTTAGCTTCTTTCTAAAGGGTGAGGACACGCAGCTTCTTTCTTGTTGTGAAGTAAAACTTCTGCGAAGGGACTGGCCTCCATCTGGTCAACAAGAAACCACTCTCCGTGCACAGTGGGTCCCGTATGCTGGCACCAGCCAGCGCGGCTACCAACACAGGGAAGGACTCACCCTCGCAGCCCCGTTCGCCTGACCTAGGCTCTGAACTGTAAAAACCTAGGCAGCGGTCACGTGCTTTTCTGCGACAGAAAAGTCTGGACATAGACAACAGGAAAGGTGACTGCTCTTCACAGGGGCTGACACACTTGCTGTGGAGGTGAGTGTGCAGCTGACCATCGGACAGTCACCTCTCACCCGAAGGACTGAAGATGTCTGAGCTATTTATGTGCCTGAACTTGGGTCAGGGCAGCCATCCTCCTCGGGACTCAAGTGCAAGGGATTCGGGTCACTGAGGGTGGGAGTCCTGTCCCTGGCCTGGGTCTCTCACTCCAGTTTTCAGGGAGCAGTGAGAGTGGAGTCATGTCCCTGCCCAGGGTGTCTCACTCTGGTTTTCAGGGGTCAGTGAGGGTGGGAGTCCTGTCCCTGGCCAGGGTCTCTGACTCTGGTTTTCAGGGAGCAGACAGGAAGCACTCAGTCCGCCATCTACCCTTCTGAACACAAACCTCCACAATGATCTGCCTGTACTTGGGCTGGTCGATGTTCCCCAGCATGTCTTCCACGAGGAGAGAGAAGTTCATCTCATACATGGTCATGTCGGACAGGGTTGGCTGCTGAAGGAAAAAACTCAGCATCACAGCCTGCACTGTGACTCTCTGGCTCCCTCCTGCCCCAGGAATTTCACTTGCTAATTGAGAGCCTGTTTCAGTTTTCACCAACTTCAGAGAGCCTTTCACCCCAGGGCTGGGCTTTATATGTCAAACTGCTAACCCAGCCAACTGCTGTGATAAATTAACCCTCCGTGTTTAGTAGCCATCTTCACTATACTAACATCTTCAGGGAAAAGGGACTATATTAGGAAACCACTTCAGCCAAGAACCGGGGCAGCACACAGAGTACACTGCTTTTAGAATTAACACAAGAAGTTGGGCTGGCTGTCAGATGTCCATGTGCGAGTCACCTGCTACGGAGTTTACATCATTTCTGTGGCAGGTCCTTACCGAGAGGGCAGCGTAAAAACGCATACATGTAAAGACAACACTGGTAGCCAGAAAGCAAGCAAACAGAAACGCGCAAAACTAGAAGAATTTTCTCTACCCTCCATATTTTATTAAAACAAGAGTACTGCATAGTCTTCCATTCGCTTTTTACAAAGCAAATGAAAGCAGAAAACAAACTCAAGTGCAAACCAAAATCTGGGTGCGGATGGGAGGAGGCTCTGAGGGTCAGGTCCATGCGGCAGCAACAGACGGAGTCGCCAGAACTGCGAGCAGGGCGCAGTGGTGACTTACGGTGAACTTCATCATGGCCTCAGAACAATGTGTATCTTCTCACCACCCAAAAGGGGACCCAGGGGGGAATGTCCCTTTCAACCAAATGACAGGGAAGTTGTTCCACCCGGTGTAACGTCCCTTGTCCCTCCATTCAGTGTGGTCCATCTACTGTACTCTACATGCAAAACAACCCAACACACTGGCAACGGTCCATTTCATAGGAGTATTTGAAGGAGGGGCGGCCAATCCCTGAGGGAGGAAACACTAGAAAATAAGTCTAATCGATGGGACTGGAAGTATTTCTTTCCAATCTGAGTTGCCTTTTATTTTTTAATTTTAGTGTCCTCTATAGTCCATACAAAAGCCTGGTTTTACATGGCTATTTTGCCAACACTATTTCTGTCGCACACTTTCGCCCCCTTCAAGGCTCCAGGCAGCTCTCCGAGAGGAGGGGGTACACAGAAGGGCACCTGCAGTGCAGGGGGGAAAGGATCCTCTGCTCTCAGGTCCCTTCAGAAGCCCCTTCACTGAGATGACTGCGGTGGGCTGTACCTGTGGCAGATGCTTCCCTGCTACAATGATGCCGTCGGGCGTGCGCTCCAGGATCTGCCACACGCGGTCATAGAACCCCGCAGGGGTTCTGTTCAAAGACCCGTTGATCTGACGCCTGTTCAGCCAACATCTGCAAACCAAAGGAAAGTGCCTCAGAGTGTAAATAAGCCTGTTCTGATGGGAAGCCAGGCCTTCAGTGTGGATTTACTGTGCTGGGAGGGTGAGCAATGAACGCCAGAATCCACCAACGACGCCTACTCGAGCCTGTGCTAGCGGGTACTAAGTATTTCCTAGAGAAAACGAGCTTGAGGGAAAGGAGAAAATCCCTAGATTTTAAATAATTTAACAGGCAAAACATTATTGGCTATGAAGTTACAAGGTTAAAAACCTCACCATGTGATTAAATGACTTTAATACCCAAAGCAGCTTCACTGAAAAACATAGGAGCGGCTTAAATTGTTAGACTAAAGGTTTCTCTGTCATAAAAAGTTCTTCAAATCAATGCGACCCACGAGTGCTTGCTTTGCTTCTAACTCAGCACAAGCCAAGTCTATGACAGGGTTTAGCCTGAAGAGGTCAGCGGTCAGCTGAGGGAGACAGGATGGGCAGCACCACCAAAGCACAGCTCAGGCGGAAACGTCGGGGGAGGTGGTGGGTGCTGCCCAGATTCAGAAAGGGAGCTGGCAGGGTGGGAGGAGGTGTTATATTCCGCACAGAACAATAAAAATTAAGAAACCTTTTAAACTACACCTGAAAAGTATATAAAATTCAAATCAATACCAACTGACGACTGACGACAGATATTCTGATCAGTGTCTGCGGCACTGCCCATCTGTCCTGCGCAGCACTTTCCTCCTTATCAACATCTTACTCCACACGTGTACCAAGTACGCGTTCCGGAGACCCAGAGGGCCTGCAGGGAAAAGGGGCACCTTACCGTCCATTCTGCTGGGGCTGGAGAATGTCCAGCAGGAGCTGTTTGACGGCACTGGGGGACAGCTGGTACAGGTCTACGGCGGGCTGGTCCCCACCCCGGATCTGCAGCTCATACTCCATGGCGTGTATGATCCACCTGAAAAAAGGCAGGAAGTGCAGATCGAAAGAGTGGCCTTGGGCTTCTCCCAGCAGTGCCCTGAAAGCCGACCCCTCAAAGGGGGTACAGAAAAGGCCAGGGGAATGTCCTGAGCCACCGAGAGACTGACTCCATGGAGATTATGTGACACGATCAGAGTCTTGAACGTGAGGCTGATCCTGCAGCCGAGGTCAGGGAGTAAATGTGAAACAGGGTTAGAACTCAGGGTCTTGCCAAATGAGATCCCACCCACCGGGCACCCCAGGACACTCCACAAATAGCTGTCACACTGCTACTTTCTTCTCACGAGAGACACGCACACAGAAAACAGACAAAAGTGGCATGTTCTCAGGAAGGGGCTGTCGGGCTGTGATATGAACGCTCCTTTTCTGGGGGCCAATGTTCCACCCATTTCCTTTACTTTGCAGTCACTCCTTGGTGACCGGGGGACACAGGATAAGTAGGCACCTTTGAAACAGGGACAGTCATAACTTATCTAGTATGAGAGAATATGCTTTAACCAACAGAGCTCAGAAGGATCTTCGTTATAGATATGTAAATGCTGTCCGTGTACCTACTCTTAAAGAATCTATTCTTTAACAGACACTCAAATGCTGTTCATGAAACCACTTCTATTACAGAAAGAGCTTTATTACAATCATGTAGGCAACAATTGATGGGACAATGAGTGCCTGGCCTTTTCCAAGGTGGTGTAGTTATCTGCCTGGAAATGCCCAAAATATTTCATTATTTTAAAGTAATTTTATTTTATTTTATTTTTATTTATTTTAAATATATCTTTATTGATTTCAGAGAGAGGAAAGGAGAGGGAGAGAGAGAGCTGGAAACATCAATGATGAGAGAGTCATTGATCGGCTGCAGCCCGCAACCCGGGCATGTGCCCTGACCGGGAATCGAACCCTGATCGCCGGGATCCTAGGTCGATGTTTAACCGCTGAGCCACGCCCGGCCGGGCAGTAATTTTATTTTTTAATCTGAGAAGCTTTTAATAAGTATTTTTAGAGTTTCATCTTTTTGTTCATTTACCGTATTTTGAGGAAAGAACTCAGATAAACTAGCTTTGCAAAACAAAGAAAACTCTGGAATGATACCATGCCTTAGGGAACTGGCGCTCCACACACCATTAGGAAGAGCCAAGGAGTTAGCTTTACATGGTGGACTCCTACGGTTTATCCCTCACTCCTGGGCGAGCACTGAATAACAGACAGGGAGTGCAGCTGAGCAGCTGAGCAGAGTGGGCCTTCCTTCACCCAGGCTGCTCTGTCTCCCAGATGCAGGTGGTGGAGCCAGGCCCACGGGGAGACCTTTCTTTTCTTCACTGTGGCCTCCCACAACTTACGAGAAGCACCTGCTAATTAAGCCCCAAGATTGTTGGCTCCTCTGTTCAAACTGCGGGACAAGATAAGCTACTCTCAAGACTACATTGTTGCATCCCCCCCTCCCTGCTGTCTTCACAGCTCAGGGATAATTCACACCAAGGAGTCTCGAGTTAGTAGAAAGTCCGCTCTCTTCCCCTTCAAACAGGCTTCTCTTGACCTCTTCATAACTTTTGCTCTGAGCATGTTTTACAGGCTTGGGAAGAATACTAATAAGTTACCTCCCTAGGAAATCTGCTGGACTGTCTCCTGGAAAGCAAACAAACTGTAACTTTTCCAGGCAGCCCCTGGTATCTGCTCAACTTCAACACAGCACAAACCCTTCGCCTAGCAACAGCACCTGCTTAAAAGAGCAGGCCGCCCTTTTGTTTCTTGCCCTGTATTGACTAGCAGTATTTGGCCCTTTCCAATCTTGGAAAGTAAAATAAACTTCCTCTCTGCATCTCTTCTTTTAGTTGCAAATTCTTTCACAGCCCTAGTCACCAGCCAAACCCTAAGAAGAACCATCTAGTTACACAGCAAAGATTTAAAGTGGCTAAGTTACTACACCCAAATATGCAATTATCTTTCTCTTGATATGCTTCTTTGAAAGCCAACCCACAAGGCTACTGCAGGTGCAGAGATGAAAACGTTGGGTGGAAATAATGAAGATTCAAATCCTTTCCGTCTAGGCTGGTTTTCAGAACCACGGTGATGTGTTGTTACAGGTTGATGCTAGTGTGGCTCAGTGGAAGAGACGGTAAGAAGACTGTGAAGTCTTCCCAGCCGGGCCATGGCAACATCAGCCAGGCACATCGCCCTTCCTGCTAGGCCAGGCCATGGGCCACAAGGCAAGGTGTCCCTGCTCAGTGACTGTCCCAATCTCACTGCGCTCAGCTGAAGCAACACTCAGCTTTTTCCCCACCTTCCCTTCTGTGCTTGTTCTTGCCATTTCCAGAAGTCAGGGATTTCCTGGTCTGTCAGTGAACTGAGAATATGTCGCAGAACACTGAGCCAGTGGCATAAGGGGTACACTGAGCCAGTGGCATAAGGGGTACACTGAGCTAGTGGCATAAGGGGTACACTGAGCCAGTGGCATAAGGGTACACTGAGCTAGTGGCATAAGGGGTACACTGAGCCAGTGGCATAAGGGTACACTGAGCCAGTGGCATAAGGGTACACTGAGCTAGTGGCATAAGGGGTACACTGAGCCAGTGGCATAAGGGGTACACAAGGATGGAAGATAATTTTAAAAAACAGTACACAACTACATGTCATCAACAAGTTAAATGGGCATAAAAGTCACAAGGATACAGTTACTTTGGATGCTTTAATGTTGAAGTTGCCTATGAAATTAGCTGTTACACTGCAGTTACAACAAACAGCCCCATTACCTCTCTTTAAATAAAAAAGTTTATTTTTAATTTTACAGGTGAGACAGCATTGTCTTCTATTTATTATTTTATTTATTTCGTGAGCTAACATTAAAAGTTTACGTTTGTGGCAGCTTACTATGATAGAAAGAACATCACATTAAACACCTAATGGTCGCCTTTAGGTCGCCTCCACAGCCGATGGTATGAAGAGAAGTGGGGTTGGGGGTGCAGGTCTAGTGAAAAGTGATCCTGATTTTTTTAAAGTAATTCTGGGGACAACCAGAGAAATCTGAGTAAGAATTGGGCATCAGGTGATATTAAGGAATTACTACTAATTTTGTTGAGTGTGATAAAGTATTGTGATTTTTAAGGAAATGTCCTTTTTTAGAGACATATACTTACTACGATATTGAGGGATAAAAGGGAAAAGACCTGGGTTGCCTTATAAATACTACAGAGAGAGATGAAACAAACATGCAAACGTAAATTACTAACAGCTGCTTATACCATTTAATTAATGGACAAATGGTCATCTGCCAAATCCTCGTTATTAAACTTCTAAAAATTTCATAAACAATATAGACAGACTTGAACGCCAATCTGTCATCTACCCACTGTGCCCACTGGCAAGTTCTTTTTCAAATGGGAATAGTGCGTGTTCAGCTCACTTCAAGAAATTATTTTGAGGAACGAAGTAGACAATGTGTGATAAGAGGTATTTGAAATTATAGAATCATAAAAATGTTGGCAATTCCATTTGACTCTTTAGACTCAGGTTGGAAGAAGATAATCCGATTTTCTTTCAAGCCTGGGAGCTACCAGAGTGAGTGCCACCCCATTAACTCCAGGAGGTGCCCTCTTCTAAAACAAGAAACTTCTTTATTTTTTAAATTCTTTTTTAAGTCTTGCAAAATTTGAGTTATGAGAACTAAACATAGTGTATCGCATTTACCTTTTAATATCTTCGGCACCATAAGCAAAGCTAGTTGGAGATCTAAACATTTCCCCTCAGGCTTCTTCCTTCTGTTCACAAAAATCTCAGCAGTTCTGTGAGCAGATGATAGAAAACACCGTGTCCACAGCCACCAAGGGAAGCAGGGGCTGGTTTTCATTCATTTGAACATAATGAACATAACTTATCTGTCAGAGGACTGAAATACATTTATTCATTTAAAAATACCGGGCAAGCTAATCTTTGTGGCAGGGAATTCTTCAAAAGACTAAAATAAAAACAGCAAAATAGCCTTATACAGAAACTACTACGTAGCGGTCAGAGACTTAGTAAATTCCTGACTAACAGGAAAATCAAAGCCTGTAGTCCATTGTTAAAACTACCAACAGGAGAGGGCGCTGATTCCTGTGCAGGGGGCCTGACCTCACACCCTCATTCCTGATTGACAACTCCAACCTAAAAGCACTTAATGCAAAGTAGGGAGAGAGAGCAAGAAATGTGAAAGGCAAAAAGCGTGACGGTTATCCTTGGACCAGATCCTCATACATTCAGTCTGTCCAAAGAACCAGGACCACGCTCGACTTCCAACAGCAAATGGGAAAGTGGCAGATAACTCGACTGACCAGACCAACCTTCCCAAAGGATGAAGGATTACCTTGAGGACAGTGAATCCTCAGTACTGTGGGAAAGGTGTGGGGAGAGGACTCATTCCTGTACAGGCCTGGGAATGACCTCATCCTCCTAAAAAACTGTGCTTACTAACCTCACTGTGAGGTTAGTAAGCACATTGTGTGTGTATAGGTCATTTTCTTTCCAGCATGCGCCAGTCAAGCAGGGAAATATAAAGTGTATGGAGATCTGATATCCCTGGTAAACCAGAATGGCTGATATTTTCTGAAAAACAACAACAACAAAATGCATCAAGAATGCACTGATGACCCTGGCCAGTGTGGTTCAGTGGTTAGAGCGTCGGCCCTCAGACTGAAGGGTCTCAGGTTTGATTCCCGATCAAGGGCACATAGTACATATCTCTCTCACATCAATTTCTCTTTCTCTGTCTCTCCTCCCCTCCCTCTCTTCCAGTCTCTCTAAAAAAATCAATGGAAAAAATATCCTCAGGTGAGGATTAACAACAACGGCAAAAAAGAATGCACTGATTTACAGCCAGAAACAATTTTTAAATAACCACTTTGAAGCTATTTTAAGAGCTGAGAAGTATTTTCCCAGGTTGCTATTAACAAGTGGAAGGACAACTGCAAGCACTTCCCCAAGCCTTCCCATAGGAGACGGGAGGCT